AAAAAAAAATCATCAAATACGCCCAGCGTGTTATCTGTGCGCGACCAAGTCCCTTCCAGGAACGGTGAAACGAGGTTTCATATCGCATTCGGCTTTCGCCCGGCGCGGTTCTATTTCGGACGTGTTCGGAAGTACGGTGGTGTGGGAATAGGTCACGCAGCTCCCAGATATCCGGCGCATAAGGAATCCCTGCGCCTCTTTGATATTGTACTATAACGATCTAAATATAATTTTGATTATGTTGTATCTATATATCGATCCAAATATAATTTTGCTGTGGTAGGGCCACAGGGAGAGAAAACAGGCACACAGGCTCGTCCGGGGTGGTACCACAGCGTCACAGAAGACCGGCGTGAAGTGGAAGAGATATACTTTCGTGTATAGTCTGGTAAGTGAGGTAACCAGGGCGCATTTTTAGGTTGACATCGCATCCGCAAGCCCTCAAGTGTTGTAGGTATCCACGGACGGCGATTTCCGCTTAACGTCGGTGAATCGCTCGATTGACAACTTTTCACATAAAAGAATAATATAACATTAAAGAGAATTTGTATTCCGATTTTGCATGATTCTACGATAGTTTTCTCTAGATAGTTTTTTTAGTTTTCTTGAATATACGAATATATTTTACGTTTTATGCTTGTGTGGTGTTTGGTCAAAGTCTTTACGGCTTCTGGCAACGTTTGCAATTCTTCTTCGAATTGACTGATTTATTCAACTTAGGCCCGTATGAACGACTTGTGACCGATAGGTGTGTAAGCAATTAAAATAAACCAAGACTCACGAGCGTGCTTAAACTTACTGAGATTCGAACTTGTGTACCCGGATTGTAAAGTCCTCAGATAAGTACTAAGTGTTAATTATTCTAGTCAAGTAAATTCTTACTCAAGTAAATAAAAGCCAAGCCTAATAACAGGATAAATACATCCTGTTATTAGGCTTGTCCTGTTCAGTCTTAAATAACGCAAATGGGACATTGACATTGTAAATGAATCGATAAGAGTTTATTTATTGCGATTCCTTCGCTTAACAATATCCATTCCTTTACTGGATAGATACAAAATTATGATTTTGTCTAGCATCAATTCGAGATGGGGTCATCGACTTCAAATCCGTGCAGAGGTTAAAACGAGTCAAGTGTTCAACGGATAAATTTCATAACAACGTAATAAGAATTACTAAGCAAAAATGCTTCAATGTATTAAGAGTAATAAGTTTGTTAATATACTGAAAGATCGTGTTTAATATTTAGCTATTCATAGTGTTGATAGTGTTGATAAATAAGTAGTATTATTAGTAATATTGTTTTTAGAAACATCACTGGACACATAAAATATGCCATATTATAAACACTGGAAGCATCTGATATGCAAAAACTAAACTATCTAACGGTACTCGGACAGATATATCGTTAAATTGGCGCCAGAGGATATTCTGCGAGAACTTGTTCTGTTGGTCACACACGGCTCATTTGTTATATATACATTTACATATATTCACTTTTACATGTATGTATTTACATTAACATGCGCTATTGTTATGCACTTCACTTTGTTTATGTGAGAGGGTAGCAAGGGAGCTGTTCATGATGTTAAGTGATAATATAATAACACACGTAGTGCAGATGCGTTGCCACGTTTCAATAAAGTGGGCCCCGGCTACCTCAATCACCAGATGAAACGCAGAACACTTCCTTCACGCCGTTCTTCTGTGAGGTCATGGTACTTACCCGGACGGAACTGCCTACTCGTGCAACAGCAAATACTGTTACGTGGCCCTACCACAGTTCCACAACTCACTTAATTTTCTGAGAAGGTGGTGTCAAAGTTCGTGGTTCACTAGTAATAAGATGATAATCGAAATAAAAAGAATGTTAACTTTATTGTATAAAAAAAGAGTATCACCCTATAGTTGAGTAGGGTTTCATGATACCATATAAAATAATTTTAGTCTTGTATCTTGTATTGACTGATGTTTTTGCTTTCAGTCCCGAGACTATTAAAGCTTCATCTGACGCAGAACCGGTAGGCTAGCCAGAACCCACGGGTTTGGGCCCTCCGCTGTGGGTAGGGCCGCGCATGTGCTCATGCGTGCGTTTAACTATGGTGTGTCATCTAAGGGCCATCGAGGTCGCGGTTCGGACCGAGACCCCGACGGCCGTCAACTGTGCAATTAGCTAATCGGTGGCTGGGAGCGGTGAGAACCGCCCCGCAACGCGGGTGTACCTTGTGTACGTGTTGTGTTGGTCTCGCCGTGCTCGGAGTCGAGGGCGAACTAGTGTGTTTGTTGTTGCACCAACTGTGGGTGTAGTGTTATCCGGCGGGATCCGCGGCGGTGGGTCCGACGTGCCTAAGTCTATAATTTTAGTGTAATGTTCATACATAGATCACTTTTAGAAATTTTTTAAAAAGTTTTAAGTATTGAACTAATAAATTTTTAATGAACACACAACTTCTTTTAAGAGACAAATTCTAATGTATTTGTACTCAAAAATGAAATAATGCAATAAAATGTGCCAATAAATCTGTGCGCTTTACTCGTAAGTAAACTATGAAAATGTCTCTAAGTTAGTCGCGATTCCGACGTCCATATTCGTACGGACGTGTCGCGTTATATATTCGACTAGCTGATCCGGCATACGTTGTTTTGCCATATAAATTACAATCTATATATAAATCTGATGCCAATAAATAATTGGGTGGAATTTCGTAAAATCCGTTCTTAGCTGACCTCTACTAGGCGAAAGGAATATTTCTACCAAATTTCAAGACTCTACGCCTTATGGTTCCAGAGATATCGTGATAAGTCAATTATCGGTGGAAATCTCTTACATCCATATAGATAATAATTAAAATTAAAAAAATAAATCATAAAAAATGAAAATCTCCTATATACATATAGATAAATAAGCCACCTGTCAAATATTTTGCCAATTCGTTGACAGTTGACAGATATAAACCGTATTTTTTGCTAATATTTCCGTACAACGTTCAAAGTTGGGTTTCAAAAACATTAATAATTGGTTCATATTTATTTTTGACGTAACCAGTATCAACCTAAGTTAACAAGAGGTTTTTTCCTAAAAAAAATTACGTTATCTATTGTAAATGATCGGAGTTCCTCAGTTGATGATAAATAAATAAAAATAAAAGATCACGAAATACGTGCATAATAAATTTTACGAGCCTGACATTAGGATATAATATAACAAGTCTGGCCCGGGACCATAAACGCCACAGTGTTCGAAACATCGGAAATTTAAAAATAAAGTCATAATAATAATAATTAAGCGTATAAAAGCTGAAGGTATTAATAAGAGGCTTAATAGTGATTATTCATTTACTGAGCTACCGCGCTTACCATCCACGGCTGCATCGCCACTTACCATCAGGTGGGTTGGCAGTCAAGCGCTAGTCAGTTCCTTTTATAAAAAAAAAACTGATATCTGATCAATTGCCTGAGACGATGAAAGCCACCAAGTATACCAAAGCTTGAATTTAAAATAGATTAATTTATTACAAGTTGTATGGAAGTATTGCTCTTTACGCGTATTAACGGTTAAAGTACAATTGGCTGTCGACTGATGCGTCACTGCTAAGTCAATTTGTGTAGCACAATGTTAAGGACGACCAATTGAATTTACGGTCAGCAATAAATTCGAATGAAGCTGGTAGTGGGCCGACTGTTAGGTTAATGGATGTGTATGGTTATGTGTTCTCTTTTGCCGGCGGCTCGTATTGGTTTTGTTAGGTTTTTGTTATTTGATTTGAATTTTGGGATTATTGAATGGCTGAATACAATTAGTTACAAACGGGGAAAGGAATGCAAGTGAGAGATGAATGCAAAAGAAAAAGGGTACACAGTGGATTTTGGAGGGAAATATAATATTAATTTCATAATAAAGATTGCCATTAAGATAATTGCATTTTTTCTTATAAGTGTAAACAGAGTATATAAAACTGACGCACGTTAAATATAGCGTCTTAATTGAGGTTTCACATTCATTTGACTGTTTTAATAGTTAATAACAATGTGATTATCATAAACGATCTTAATAAAACGCTGAATTCAGTTCATACGCTTTATTTGTTCAAGCACTGACAAGCTGTATATAAAAGGCGCGTACCTTACGTAAGTTTTAGAATAATGAATTAATTTGTCTCATATCAGGACTACCATTAGTGTAATTTATATGAATTTATCGTAATAGAAAAACTTGTATACATACATTTATAACTACGAAGGTGTAGTTGTCAGAATCGCTGTTTTAAATTTTGTGGTGTTATATGTAAGAATGAATTATTTAAAAAGTAATAAAATGAAAAAAATGCTTTTGATCTTGTTTATTTAATAAATTAAATAAATAGATCAAAAGCAGGTAAGTAGTTATATTTGTATATTAAATGATGTATCGAAAAATCAGATTCACAAAGTGGAATGTTAGTAATTGTAGGTTACTGTTCTCCTTAAAGGGAGTCTTTTATGTTGTGTTTACCTTTAATTTAAATGCATACTCGTATATACAATGTTTAACTTAATTGTATTGCAAGTGCATCACAATACTTTTTTCTTTATGTTGGTATTTAGTTGGTAAGCCTTTTTAAAATAAATAAATATATAAATAAATTTTATGTAAGGAGCATTATTTATGTTTGCATAACCAATATATAGATCTAGAAAAAGTCTAGCTTTTGCATCAATACTATGTGTCTGTGTCATTGCCTAGACACGAATATTTTTCCTGACACGCAGGCAAATTTTTATGAAAAATGTACTAGAATTTGCTCCTACATCAAATAATGTATCAGCCGTGTTTATAACAATTCGAATAACGTCGAATAATGATTTCTGGGACATGAGATAACTATCATAGCTATAAAATTTACATTCACTTCAGTCAAAGAATGTTGCATCTGTTGAATGATGTTGAAGATTGTATTAGGAATGATGTGTTTATATAATTAGCTGTCAGCAAACCTAGTAAAAAGTGAGGTAACTCTTACCTTGCATGAGAACAAGGCATTCTGCCACGTAGCCTTGTTGTCGCTGAAGAAGTAGCAGCTATGACCGAGCCGGATGAACTGGGGAGGGCACACGTACGACATCTTAGTCGAGTTCCTGTGACCCTCTACGCCTTTGCCTAAAACAAATCAGTTGAGTAAAAAAAAAAAAAGAAACAACACATATATTGATATGTCTATTGCTAAGTAAAGGTCTTTTCTGTATAGAGGTATAGAGGTTATGCTATTTTCTATAACAGAACGTACTGCAGTGTGGATTCGAGGACTGTACAAATCTGTGAAACAATTTTCCTCCCTGTATTTTCTGGACGATGAGCACGTACCTCGGAATCCGTTGATTCAAACATATTGGATAGACATTTTGTACTAAATGTCCATTACATTAGTAAAGTAACAGCCTATACGTGTCCCACTGCTGGGCAAAGGCCTCCTCTATACGGAGGGTATTATATTACAAATACTTAATTTATCTCGTACCCATATATTATGTATAGAAAAACTTTCTTGATATTTACTTTTCTAATTGGTGCTTTAAATAGTATATATAGTATAGTATGTATAGTATAGTAATAATACTTTTATACTTATACGAAACCACCATTAATATAAATAATAGTTATGTAAATTATGAATTTATTTTTAATTTTCGTTATGTTTTTGGAAAATTCTGAATCGGTGATTCGTCATCAAAGAAGAAAAGCCTCACCAGAGATGTATAAAGTCTCCTAACAAAGAATCCATAACCGATGCTATGTGTATTTATTTTATTAATAAAGAGTATAGATATTATATGTTAGCTACACATAATATCTATGCTCTTTTTATTTGAAATCTGTTTTAGTCTACGTCGTGATTAATGTGCATGAGTGCTGCGAATCGGAATAAATTGCCGAAATCATGAACATTTCGCATCAAACATGTGATTTGACTACGTCTATACATTGTCTCTTTAACGAGTATGACTAACGTAAGATAAAAATATAAGAAAAATCTCGAAATCTAAACTGGCGAAGTGCTTGTTTTTATTTTTAAATCTGAATACCTCAATAGATCAGTTTAAAGTCTCCTGGCAATAAGGCGATTATAATACAAAAAAATAATTTGCATAACAATTCCCGCTAAAAGAAACAGTTAGCCATAAATATTTTGGCCGTCGGCGACCGCGAGTATTCTCCAAACTAGTTCCTATCCAAGGCCACGAGAAGTCTTCTATCGACTGTGTTTGAAATTTATTGTTTTACTTAGAAATCGACAAATGCCTCGATTATCTTGTTCGGTTGTTTTAAAATAGTACGCGTCCTGTATTCGATGTCAGTATTGTTCACATGTTATGGATAGGACTGTCTTGAAATTATCATTAGTTCTCATAAAATATAGACAGTCATAAAGAGTGAATCCTGTGAGACAGCGACTTTATTAATATACTAGCTTTTCGCCCGCGGCTACGCTCGCGTTGAAAACCTTAAATAAATATCTTTCTTTAAAATATACATATATTTTAAAGTTTTTTACAATTAAAAAATAGCCTATGTCTTTTCTCAGTCTATAGAACAAAATTCATTTAAATCGGTTCAGTAGTTTTGGTGTGAAAGCCCGACGGACAGACAGAGTTACTTTCGCATTTATAATATTAGTATGGATGTATATTTAAGTCCAGACTGAGGCTAAAAAATTTATACACTGATTTATTTATGGACCAAGGTATTTCTGGAATAGGTGCCAAATGAGCAAGTAGCTCTTGATACTATGGAAACTATTGATTCTACAAGAAAATTATGTAAAGTAAAAAGGTAAAAATCAGCGTATAAATGTAAACCCCCACTGCAGGCCAAAGGCGTCTTCTGTAAAGAGGGTATCACGGCATAGTCCATTACGCGACCTCTGTGTGGATTGGCGGACTTCACATATTTTCGAAATATTTTATTTTTATTATTTCTAAAATATGCAGGTTTCCTCACGATGTTTAAATGTTTATGCACTTAAAATTCACGGCTGCATCGCCACTTACCATTAGGTGGGATGGCAGTCAAGCGCTAGTCAGTTCCATAAAAAAAATTAACAATTTCATTGGTGCCGGCACCGGGGATCGAACTCAGGACGCATTAAAGACACTGAGCTATCACGCCAATAAAGTGCTCGTAAAGACTAAGTTTCTAAGCGTTATTCTTTTAGATTTACGTGAACATTTTTTACGATAATCGCCATTGAACCGAAGTTCAGGCTAGGCGCCCCGTGCGCCAGGCCACCTCAAGCCCGTCGGAACTGTAAAGGCCCCTAAGGCCAACAGTGGCTTATCCAGCCCAAAAAAAAATCGCCATTGATTCACAACAAAGTGACTATTAAGCGATCAGAAATCCCCGCCAAATTTCCCGTCCTCATGAATACTTCATGTAAGCCTATCTGCAGGGCGGCTAATGAATTTGTATATTCATTATATCGGCATAAACTGTTGGACTGTCTGCATTACAAAATGTGCATTATCGATGAATAATGTATCGCCTGCCAGTACATAATTCACTAATACGTTACGTGCGGCTCCAGTGTCTCATATTAAAGAAGATATCCGATGACGCCATTTAACATCAAATGGCTTTAATTTATTTTAGTTTAGTTTGGCCAAGGTGATTATTCCTAGGTTAAGGTCAGTATAGAGTTTAGCTAAAATACGTTGGATGTTTCAGGGTAAAGTGCAGGGTAAAGTGAGATACGCGATCATCCATTTAACTATAAACACATTTACCGTGATCACAATTCACTAACATCCGGCACTAGTAGGGTCGCGTGGTGAAATATGCCCTAATACCCTTATGTACGAAGGTGGCCGTTACCTGCTGCATATTTATGCTGTAGTGGGAATATTTATGCTGCTTTACTTTACTTTTATGCCCTTATCAATTTTGCGGTCTATAACTTACTGAAAAGTTAAGACCAGTTTAGAGAAAAATCAAGAAACCTATTTCACGTACTGGCCGGCCCTATTCATAGTTGAAAGATATCGTTTTTTTGTCTCCACACCTTTCACTTTCAGTGTAATTTATTTTGATTTGCTTAAGTATCGTCTTTTCTTATCATCATTATAATTTTCACCGAATGACCAGAATGGCGTAGTGGGTAGTTAGTGTACCTGCCTCTTGCGCCAGAGGGTGTGGGTTCGATCCCCACTGCTGGAAAAATATTGTGTGATGAACATAGTGTTTTTCTAGTGTCTGGGTGTTTATATATGTATACTATGTATTTATTTACAAAAGAAAAGTATGTTTATCTGTTTTCTAGTACCCATAGTACAAGCTTTGCTTAGTTTGGGACTAGAGAATGTTGTGTAAAAATGTGTCCTAAAATATTTATTTATTTATTAATTTTTATAGTCATTAGTCAAATAGCTACACTGGCCTCCAAAATTCTCGGGTCCAGCTCTCGCACAATTTGGAGTTGGTTTCTTTTTTACTCTGTTGTAAATATTTTGACAATTTTCTTTTTCACCAGGTGGATTTTTCTGTTAGGAAACGAACTGAACGTTATCTATAATTTGTATCGTAACATGGTTTACTTTGTGAGTGCTCTTGTTGACATTCGATTCGAGTGTGTTATCAAACGACCGCCAAACGTTTGTATGCGTTTTTGTTCTGCATGTTATGTGACTGGAATTAATGATTATTTTCATAATAAAAGAACGTTTGGATTATGCTTCAAGGGTAATAAAGCCGTCTCGATAGCCTGTTAGTCTTCTCATAGCTTTAACTGGGTTTTAGTCCTTATTTTCTAATATAACAGAACCCGCTTGAAGCCAATTCTGTAGCGGGGGTTGTTTCTAAATACTGGTCGAAAGAAATTTGAATGGTAATTTTTACTAGGAAAGTAGAAGTATAGTAGATAATTTTATATCTTTACCCGACTGCGGTAGACTAATAAAATTACGCCTATACTATATCTATTTCTTTGCAAGTTCTACAGCCCGAAAATTTTGACGGATTTCGACATATGACGTGTCATTGGATTATTTTCAGCTATCGGAGTGACAGGGTATTATTTCTTTATGGTGCCAGCAAAATAAAAAAAAGAATAGATAGAACTTTTAATGTAGTCGGAGGTTTTGTTCTATGCAATAGTTTATGTTTGTTGTTAACAGTTGCCACTTTTGTTTTATGGGAGAAGATAACCAACAAGAAGATACTTAATATTCATTACCTCCATCCACGAAATTAACACCATCTGAAGACTGGAATTGCTTTTGTGTTGCCAGTCTTACTCATCAAACAAAATGTAACATTGTTGCTTTTTCTGTCACTCTGTCGATGCTTCTCTGGATGAGGCAGTCACGCAGGCAGTTTCACGTAAAAGTAGTTGGAAAACAAGTTATGAACGGTATATTGAGATATGTCATATGTGATATGCGGTTGCTACATGTTGAATTGGATTCCGAAAAACCGCTGAGTCATGATTGCTCCCATTCTGTCTGTATAAAATTTACGAGTCTTGTGTTCATAGGCAATTTTATTGCGCTGAAATTATGAATATAATTAATTCATCTACATATTTTGAGAGCCGTGATAGTCAGCTCAGTGTCCGGGCGCTCGCCTTTAATTCAATTTATTCGGGCAACCTGACTTCGATCCCCGATGCCAGCACCGATGAAATGGTTTATTTTAAGTTCTGACTTATTACGTGCTCGGCGATGATGGTAAATCGTGTTGACAGTTCAAAAATATGTAAACGCCCCCAATCCGCAATGGGGTCGCGTGGTGACTATGCCTTGATGCCTTTTTACAGAGGAGGCCTTTGCCTAGCAGTGGGACTGCTTAGCTTAATTAATTGGCTATTACTTTTATTTTTTTATTACTTAACATCAACTTTTACATAAATAGAGTATAACTTACATTGAGACCAAAACACGATGAACATTACTGCAGCAATCGCCAGAATTTTTCCTCTCCTTTCAAGAGCCTCCATTATCGATACTGATCACAATTTGATTAACACTGATTTCTGCTCACTTCACTTCACTTGCTTACGTCACGGATTGATGTCATTTTTTTAACAACATTCGAACTGACTTATGTTAGAGAGCATTACATTGGCCGGTTTCTATTTAGTGGTGGTTCAGATCTGAAACAGAGGAAAAACAATCATTAATTTAGTAAGCAAGAAGTTGGTCAAATTAAGATATAACACACTGTTGATTACAGCAAAAATTGAGTTAATATAATAATAGCTGGAAATTGGAAGTGACATTTAAGATTTAAGACCTTGATTTGGCTTTTGTATCGTGCACCAATTATACTAAATAATATGCAAATGCCATTTTTTTTCAGCCTGTCTTAACACGAACAGGCAAACAACGCTACTTCTGGCTACTCGGATAGCTGTAAATTGACAATGACCATATGCAATTAGAAAAAAAAAAATGGAAATTTTGTTTATACGTTCCTTGCTTTTTTTGACAAATAGAGGTACGATGAACTGCCTTTACTTAGCCAAGAGTTGATGCAATAAAGGGCATTGTATTTATAATTTATTTTCTTCAACTGTTTAAAAATCACTGTCATGCGCAATAACCCATTTGCATTTCATTTTAAAATATATAACCATTAAACATAACCCCAATTAGTTGTATTACAACTGCTACTTAGTATTTTCTTTGTCTAGCTTGTTAAGACAGTTTCTATTAGAAAGTAGCAATGGTAACACAGGCTCCTTTATAATTGGTTTGTTGCAGAAACGTGCTAGATTTAAAGCCAAGTTAGACGTTGGCCTACTCTTTTCAATAAAGCTCTTTCTTTGTGTTATTTGCTGAAATTAATCAAAGAACTCATAACGGAAGATATGAAGCTTGAGTAATTACTAATCTTTCATTAAGTTTATCATGTATTTATAAAGGTGAAGCATTGATTGTGAACTGTAAACTTTTCATGCCATTCGTGTTTGACAGTGTTAACAGAAATCTACTCATAGATAGGCACGTTAAATAGCTACTTTATAGCTCAAGTCGATACCGTATGTTAGTTTGGTCGAAAACAATTAGTTTCCAACTCATTCCGGTTGTAATCTGTGATTGCGAGTAGAATAAAACGTAAACGTGATGACTCCATATTTTTGTGACATAAGGTGAATGATAACTACAAAATGAAAACATTGATTAAGCCTCATAAGATATAAGCATCTATCATATATGTATCTGTTTTTATTTAAAACAGATTTCAACGAATTGTTAAAACACTATGAACAGTATTACCACAACCAAAAAGTCCTGTGCGACGCACGACCTTTTGTATAGTTCTGTGCACGCCTTGTAATTATTGTAAACGCCTCCTATTGGCAATAATAATAGAGCGGTAGATAATGATTTGATTTATAAATTGCGGATAGGTTGTCGATTAAATTAAGCTGAATTTCTGGTGACAGTACACATTGCGGTCGCCTAAATTACAAACATAATATTAGATTTGGTTGAACGCTTTATGAAAATTAACACGAACCGATACTCAATGCATATCCTTACTTCCTTACTATCCTTACTAATATTATAAAAGCGAAAGTTTGTATGTACGGATGGATGTTTGCTACTCTTTCACGCAAATACTACTGAATGGATTTTAATGAAACTTTACAATAATGTATCTTATGTATCAGAATAAACATAGGCTTTAATTTATATACATATTTTATGTACATTTGTCCTTCTGTCTGAATCTTTCGCCTATTCTACGCTGACGTCGTCGCGGGCAGCAGTTAGTCAACCATAAAATCTTTGGAAAGTCTAGAACTCATAAAGTGATCTTTCATAAAATCAAAATAGCTAACTTAACGATTGTATTGGCTATCAGCGCAAATAATTAGAAGCCGTTGTTAAACCAGTTATAGTTTCGAATTTTATTTTCTCTATTTTACGATCGCCGAAATGACCATGTAGGTGTTGGGTGAACAGCGAAACAAGCCATTATATCTAGGTTCAATTTTTTATGAAATTTACATTTGTTTTTCATTTCCCTCGTTTTTCGTGGTTTTACTCTAAGGCCCGATAAAGTCACATCTATTAATCGATAATATTAATAACCTAATTGTAAATGACGTGAAGGTGTTAAATGATTTTTTTAGTAACTTGCCTGTCCAATTACGAAAAAAGAAATAATTTACTTTAATCTCACGAAATGTATAAAGACTATTATAGAAATAAAAATAATTATTATCATCTGCAGCTATCTCGGCGTTTTAGTTAGAATGATTTAACCGCACATTTATTGTTCTTAACTGCCTACTTCTAAACTGCCTATATGTTTCAATGCGTATCCTAGTAAGTACTTTGCCAGTCTTATCTTAATGGAATCTCTATATGAAACCGTAATAAGATCGCAATCGGTTGGTTATGGTTATTCTTGTTCACATTGTCAATTGTAACCTCAATTTTTGTGAGTTATAAGTAATTTAATTATTACCTGAATTCAAAGCCAAAGTGTAAGTTTCTTTGTTCATTATAGGCTTAATTTAAGCTTTTGTTGAACGTCAAAAACTACCACCAGTTCACAACCACCTGTTAAACTAGACCAGACCAGAGAAGAACCGGCAAGAAACTCTCTGGTATTGTTATCTCCTTTTTTACGATACTATTTTATTTAAGTATAACATCAGCAGCAGCCAAGGGACTTGGACGTGTAATAGTCATTCCCACTCATCCTTGTCCTCTATGTATTCTTCAACATTATAATAGGCCCTTGGCACTTCAAACATCATAAGTCATATATGATACTTCATAATTTACATATCATAATTTACATTTCAAGGCTGGCTTTCTTATAGTTTCTTCCACTATGACTAAGCTGTTGCACCATCTATTGAGATTTAATAATTGTATTTAAACCATATCGTTAACGTAACGGTTTCCAATGGATAATTTATAAACGTTTCAATCTGTTTCATCTTAATAAATACAATGAGGTCTATTTAGAGAACTTGCTTGTTTCGCTTCATGGGGCGATTTATAGTCCCTTGGCGCGATATCTCATTGAATACGGAAACGCAAGCTCATGTCGAGCTTTCGAATAGCAGGCATCGCTGCATTAGTTTACAAGGACAGATAAATTATTTAGCTCAATATACGATCAGACAACGTTGTCCTGTTTGAGAGTTGGCTTGTCGAAACAAACGGTATTTTGATTACATTTTGTTACGCTGACATAAACTTTTTACTTTTAACATGTTTTAAATTGTTTTTAATGTGCCAAGTTCAACCGAAATATGAAGAATAATAGTCATAGTAATTTATTGTAGGTATATCATGGTGTATATATGCTTCTTACATTGATGTTCTTATTTCTGAAATAGCGTTAGTTTTGTATGAAAAATCAGTTTCTTCCCACTAACATTCAGATAGTGAAAATTAATATTAATTGTATATATCATTAATTTAGTTTGTTGTCTAGATGCAGTCATTGAACAGAGCCGTTATGGCTCATTGTCCAGGTGTTCGCTTTCAAGTTCAGCAATCTTAGTTTGATCCCCGGTATCGACACCAGAAAATTGTTAATTTTAAGGACTGACTTATCACTGACTGGGTCACGTGGCGGACTATATCCTAATACCCTTTGTGCAGGAGGCTCTGCCCAGCAGTGGGGTATATATAGGTGTTACTATTAATTTAAAATTTGTGTCATAAAACTTGAATTGAATGAATGGAATTTTACTTTCGCCACGTGCCGCCAATAATCCGCACACGGCACGCGTTCATTTATTATTATCGAGGAAATAGATGCACAATTCGATTTGGTTGCGTATTCAGCACGAATAGTAAAAATCGTTATGCGATGCTCGAATCGAAAGTTTTCGTTTTCGACTTTATGGATCGTTCTTACGTTTTTAGTTTGAAGTACCAGAGGCGGTCATTCGATTGCTTTTATGGTCGCATGAATGGGAAAACATTCGACGCCCCATTATAGACCATAAATTGATACTAAAACGATTTACTCGTGAGGCGTGCGTCGTTAGAATTTAGCTCCCGATATTTTCCACTCAATAACAACGATACACGATGAGTTGTATCGAAAAATATGTCTATCATAATTTTCTACCTACGGCTTGCCCACGTGTTATTTTGCTTTGTGAAAGGACGTTTTTATTGCGAAAAAAATTGGATATCACCTGCAATCAGAAGAAATTTGCTTTAACTACTTATTAATAATGGAGCGGGCTATGCTCTTCGCGAACTTTCTGATGGAGTTCGCAATGAATACAACTTCAGAACAATAAAGGTGACCGATATGGCTTAGAGGCTTAGTAAGCTGAATTAGCAACAGACTAGCTGAAAGAACCGATAACCGATGGGGATGATGGGGAATTTCTCGAGTGGCAGCTTCGTTTTGACCAACGTAGTGGACGACTCGTAGTGTAGAGACTGGATGGACTGTGTGATATGTCTGTGATAGTGATGAGTATTGAGATGATGGCTGATTAGGGACAGTGGGAGAAAAGGGCACGCTGTGCCGACCCCACCTAGTGTGGGATAAGGGCAGGAGGAAGAAAAATAAGTGTAGAAAGACTCCCCACAGATAGAGTGATGATCTGTACAATGATCTAAATAATGATGTGTGGCAAGTCGATAGAAGCAGATGGCTCAAGATGTGGCAGTCGGAAGGGGAGGCCTATGCTCGGCATCGGACGCAAACGATGCAGAAATATTTTTATTTAACTTACTTTTATTAGTAGTATACTTAACTTATGTACTATTCTAGAATTTAAATAAATCGTACAGTCGAAAAGTCCAACGTGAGAGAGGACTTTTATATTACGGCCACGCAGCAGCCACTGCTGTTGCACGAATGGGCAGCCTCTTCCCTGCAAGTAAGACGGCCCCTCAGTAGACTGGCGTGAGGTGTTAAGCTTTTGCGTTTGAGCGAGGTAACGGCACCTGAATTCATAATTAGCTTCGGCTGTTGCACGGATGGGCAGGGCCATCCGCG